CCGGAAGCAAGGGACAGGGAGGCGACGTGCCCGTATCTGTGCATGTGGAAACTTCATTTCGTCAACGGCAGCTACAGAATATGAAGGGCCGAGGTCACTCAGTCGTCACTCGCTGTACGCTCCAGGTTTAGATTCAACTACATTCAGGTGTCAAGTGAGGCACGCAGCATATATGGTGTGGATCATCGCTGGCTTAGACATTTCCAAAGCTTTTCTGACGGCGCCGATGAATAGGGCGCAAAGAGAAGGGCGTTTGGTGGTGGTGCAGCCCCCAAGGGCGGCGGTGAAATTGGGTCTTTGCACAAAAGAGGAGCGGTGGATTGTGAGGAAGGCCTTGTACGGTTTGGCCGAAAGTCCTGCAGCATGGGTGGAGTGGCGAGACCAACGTCTTCAAGGGATGTCTTGGGTGTCAAAGGATGGACAAGCAATGAGCTTTCAGAGGTCCAATGCAGACCCAAGCCTGTTCCTTATTATGGCACAAGAGAAGTTGGAAGGTGCAAGTAAGTTGGTAGGGACAATGGGTCTTTACGTGGATGATTTTTTGATGGCTGGGACTATGACAGTGCTCCGGGAGGCCTTGGAACAGATTAGGAAGGAGTGGAAAACTTCTGAACCCGAGTTCTGTGGTCCAGGCTGCGGTGATGGATTCCTGAAGTCTTTAGGTGTCCAAATCTGGTATCGAAATGGCAGCTTCTTTCTCAACCAGGAGGACTTTGTGAGAGATTTGCTGAACCGACGAGGGTATCAGATCGATGAAACTGGAAAAGGGAGTAACCTGCCAATGGTGAAAGAAACTCCAGGTGAAGAAGAGGAGGTGGATATTCCTTCCTTGCGAGCGGCGCAAGGTGCCGTAGGGGAGTTCCTCTGGGTGGCAATCAAAACTCGACCTGATTTGGCGTTCTGCACGAGCCAGTTGTCTTTGTGGACATCCCGAAGGCCGCGATTTGTGGTTAAAAAGGCTGAGGAAGTTTTCCGATACCTTGCTGCAACTCCAACGTTAGGCTTGACGTTCGGAGCAATCGCAACATGCGAAAAAGAAAGAAATGAGGTGTTGCGTTATGGACGAGGCGTTAAGGTGGTGGAGTCCTACGCGGATGCCAGCTTTGCAGCAGGTGAAAACGAAAAGAGCCACTCAGGAGCGGTGGTGGTGTGGGGTGACTGTCCAGTGATGTGGGCAACACAAAGACAATCAACGGTGGCTTTAAGTACAGCTGAAGCTGAATTACATGCGTCCATAGAGGGAGCAACGATGATTCAGTCGTGCACCCCTATAATTGCCGCTTTGGTTGGAACAGGTGAAGAATCGCTGCAAAAAGTGCTGTATACAGATTCGGTTTCAACGTGCTCGATCATTCAATATCCTGCTGGAAGCTGGAGGACAAGACACCTGAGAATTCGAGCAGCCGGTGTCAGGTCTCTGGTGGACCGTGGTTATATGGTAATAGCGCATCTTCGCGGTGAGTATATGATCGCTGACCTGTTGACTAAGTTGATGAGTGGACAGGTGTACGCAAAGCAAAAGGCACTTTGGGGTCTCCGACTGTTGGCACAAGGGACTGACTTGAAAAAAGCCTCGCTTGCAATGGCGGTCATGATGGTGGCTGCATCTCTGCAAGGGATGGCAACTGGTGGCGAAGAAGTGTCAACTGCTGGATTCTTTTGCTCAGAAGAAGGGGCGTGCAAGGTTGCCAACACGTCTGCGGTGATGGTTCTGGCTCAAGGTATTGAAATGGTTGTCAACAATTCAGACCTTGTTGCATATTTGGTGGCAGCGATTATACTCTGGGAACTGGCATGGTGCCTCTTTCGACGGCTGTATAAATGGCTGTGGATCAAGAAAGCGGTGGTTATTCCTGCGAGTGCCACTTTGTATACAACAGTGGGTGGGAACTGTATGCACGCAAGCAGTGACTGTGATGTTCTGCGATATTCGCAGCTCAGAGCTAAGACGCTTTGTAAGCATTGCCTCAAGGATGGCTGGGTGGTGAATGCTGAGTTCCTTGGTGAGGAACGAGCCGCTGGAACGTGAATTTTCCAAGTGCGAGGTGAAGAAATCCTCAAAGGTAAAGGATTCAGCCAATGAGCTGAAGGTTCGTCCTGGAAGACGTTAAACCACAATGTGCATTTCAAGCAGCTGGCTGCTGCCTAAATGGCGGTTTTTGGCCAAAGATTTGCACCTCCAATGTGTCCTAGGAAATCCTAGGACAGGGGGAGTGCGGAGCTGCAATTGGTATTGTAGAAAGGAGTTGGTATTGGAAGTTCAAGGGTCAATGAACCCGATATTCGTTGGCTCAAGCCATGACCAAAGCGGTCGAAGATTCCGTAAAAAGTGTGCCCTTGGTTTGGGGTCTTGCTGTTCGGTTGTTGGTTGTTCCAGGGGTATTAAGGGCTTCTGTTGGGGTTGACTGTTTTGTTCTCTGTCCTCCTTCGGTTGCCCCCCGTACCCTAAACCCTATACACCTGAACCCTCAGACCCGGCCATGGGTATCTATTTCACCGAAATTGATGGTCAAAAGATAAGACAAAAGGTGACGACTTAGCATTTCCCCAAGAGGGGACAAAGCCCCAAAACCCTTCAAAGGACCTTATAGGGGATGATGGCCTAGGGTTTAGGGTTTATAGGGTTATAGGGTTATAGGGTTATAGGGTTATAGGATTATAGGGTTTAGGGTTTAGGGTTTAGGGTTTAGGGCTTAACTCTGGGGCTTTGATCCACAAAGCCTAAGGCTGCGGTTCAGGGCTTCGGGCGACCTCGGGGGCGAAATGAACCCTCAAAGTGGGATCATCTAAACCCTCTGCTTCGACAACCCCTGTTAAGGTGTGGACCCTAAACCCTAAACCCTAAACCCTAAACCCTAAACCCTAAACCCTAAACCCTAAACCCTAAACCCTAAACCCTAAACCCTAAACCCTAACCCTGAACCCTGAACCCTAAACCCTAAACCCTAACCCTTTCAGGGCCATTCGGTCCCCATGGTAGGGTCTGGGGGTGTAGGTAATGGCTGCCGTCCTGCGCAGTCTGCACGCCCTGCGCCAACACGAGGGCCTGCGACTGGGGGATTCCTACTGTGTGTTTAGGGTTTAGGGTTTAGGGTTTAGGGTTTAGGGTTTAGGGTTTAGGGTTTAGGGTTTAGGGTTAGGGTTTAGGGTTGCCTTGTAAAACCTACTCGGAGGTTCATGGGTATACTCAAAACCTCGAGTAAAACTGTACTTATAAGCCTCCTAAGTTTTGTAAGGAAAAGGGCACCCTTTTGGGTTCAGAGGGCTAAGGGAACCTAAACCCCAAAAGAAGAAAGGGAACAAGGGCCTACTCTGGGTCCTAGGCGAAGAGTGTATGTAAATCTCCTGGTGGCTTGTGGGAGGCTTGGGACTGTAGCAGCTGAGCGTTCAAGATCCGAGGGCTTCTGGGCAGTGAGGTGCAGCGCTTCGGCTTTACATTCTGAGTTGTGTTTTAAACACTTTGAAAAAGTATTCTTAAAGGAGAGAAAGGAAGATAAAAGCTATCCCAAAGCACAAGCCAGAACTGCATAAAAGCCTTGTTTGGGCCTTAGTGCAGGGGCTTAGTTTGGGTAATTGTGTAGGATAAAGGGGTCCGAAGGATGCTTCCGGGTTCCAGATTCCTCTTTAAGGTAGAGTAAGTACATAGCTAGAAGGGTTTAGGGTTTAGGGTTTAGGGTTTAGGGTTTGAGACACACACATGGGTATGCTTTACGTATATGTGCATGGACCACACAAGCCTAGACAGGGCACCTTGAGGTGCGCCAGCCTTTCGGGATAGCCTCTGTCCTGGCGCGCCCCCACAAGCCCAAGTCCCGAAGATCAACCCCTAAACCCTAAACCCCTAAACCCTAAAACCTTAAACCCTAAACTATAAACCCCTAACCCCTAAACCCTAAACCCTAAACCCTACATCTTATCCTGGATGCCCGCACGCACAAATCTTTCGGTTGGGACTATAGTGTTCTGGAAGCACGTGCCAGGCCTGGCTTCAACTTAGTTGTCCAGTACCCAGGGGAACTAAAGAAGTTTAGGGTTTAGGATTCAGGGTTTAGGGTTAGGGTTTAAGGTTAACCTTTGGGAGTTTAAGGGGATTACAGTACCCCAAGAAGGTAAAAGGTTACCTACTCTGCTGCTAAGTCAAGACCTGCACGTAAGGAGCAACAGAGAGACCCCAACGAAATCACAAAGCACCGGCTGAAAACCCCGTTGGGAGCCCCTATGCCCCAAACCCGAAACCCTAAACCCTAAACCCTAAAACCCTAAACCCTAAAGCCTAACCCTAAAACCCTGAAACCCTAAAACCCTAAACCCTGGTCTGCAGCACGCTGCGAGGATCCTAAGCCCCCTAAGCCGTCATAAAAACAAAAACAAAAAGAGACCAATGTCATGGGAGAACTGTCCCCACAGGGTCCATTTGTACTGTTAGGGAATTAGGTACGAAAAACCATACGAACTAGGGGCTTTTGGGGCCTAAACCCTAAACCCTAAACCCCTAAACCCTATAAACCCTAAACCCTAAACCTAATTCCAAAATAGTACTACACATTGACCCTTTTTTTGGTAGACCTCGAGGCGCAGCTGAAGAGCAGCCTGGTGTCTCCTGGCTGTTGTCGAGGTTTTGGGGGTTTCTGGCGTGCAGATCTGGGGGGGAAGGGGGGGTTTAGGGGGGTTTAGGGGGGTTTAGGGGGGGTTTAGGGGGGTTTAAGGGTACCCTTTTTGAACCCAGGCTCCGCACTATCAGCTGGGAAACAGGCATGGGTACCCTAAACCCTAAACCCTAAACCCCACCGGAGGGTTTAGGGTTTAGCCCTCCTACTTGGTCAAGGGCGGCCTGCACAGCCTCTCTTTCATGTTCCACCCTACAAGGGCTCGCCACAGTGCACGCAACCCTAAACCCTAAACTACCCTAAACCCCAAACCCCAAACCCCAAACCCTAAACCCTACCAATGTTTTCTTCTTATATGCACAGGTCGGCGGCATGCGTCGTGTTGGCGCCCTTTCAAAATCGGCCCTTGATGTACTTTCTGGCTCGAGCCCTACCAGCTCGGCCAGAATCGAATCCCCTGGTCGAACGACCATTGATCCTTAAGTTTTCAGTGGCCCAGGGAAAAAGAGAGGGTTGAGGGTTTAGGGTTTAGGGGCTGCTTGCCTAATGTAGGGAACCCAGAACCCAAAACAGTGAAAAGGTATACTGCTGAACCGCCTAGGATCTTGTACCAGCCTGGGAAGCCTCGGTACTTCACGCCCGTCCACCTCGCCTCATGTGGCATCAGCGGCTCTCGCACAGTGATTTGAACCCCAGCTGGGGCATGTGCTTCGACTACGCACTCGCCGCAGCCAGTGATCGACACCCAGCCCAGGCCAGGAAAGACCACGTCAGCACATGCTTCGTCCCATCCGGTGCCGGTTAAGGTGAACTGATGAGGCTCCCATGGCAGCAGGCTGTCATAGCGACGGGCATCGACCGGAGGTGTCAGCTGCTTTCCTGCCCACTCCTTGCAGATGCGTGATGCCTTCTCGATCCGGGTCCTATGCAACTTCACCCGTTCTGAAATGAAGACGGTGAACTGAAAAGGCTTTCCTTTCACAAAGTCAATGCGGGCGAGAGCCCCGAGGAGCAGCGTCCGCCCCTGGTCCATGTGGAACGTGAGGCGCAGCGCCTCCTTCGTCTGCGGCGTGATCACCTTCAAGTCCTCTAGAGTTAACCGTTCAGCCATGCTTCCAGGAACCAGAAGCCCGGGCATGTCAACCAGCTTGGTGTTGCCCAGCTGGAACTTCATGGCAATTGGGGCGAGGGTCGTGCCGGGGAGCACGCTGACCACGAAGCCCCTCTGGTCTTCCGCCGAAACACGGCCCACTCCCCTGCGCTTGCGGAGGGCCAGGCGGTTCAGCAAGGAGGACTTTCCAGCATTGGCGGCGCCCACGACAAAGTGCTCACCAGGTGTGTTGTTCTGCTCCAACAGCTCCGACACATCCTTCACACCCTCCCCAGTGTGGCAGGAGATTGGAAACACATCCATAATCTTGATTTTCGTGTGGCCAGCGCGCTGAGCTTCCCTGGCGATCCATCCACGCAATCGCGGGCGGCTCGTGTCCGGCGGCAAGAGATCCTCGGTGCGCCAGAAACACGCTTGTGCTGCTTTCGTTAGGAGGAGCTGGTCTTTTGTTTCAGGGGCTCGGCATGTGATATATATATATATATGTACGTGTATGTATGTCTAGATAAATAAAAAAATAAATAAATATATATATATATATACATACATATACAACCGATTAAAAAAAAAAGGAAAAAAGGAAAAACGGGTGCCACCTGAAGGTTCCCAGAGTCCACTTTGTTGGCGATGAGGCGCACGCGCACCTTCGGCTTGCCACTCAGCTCCCGGGCGAGATACTCTAACCTTGGTGGCCCTTAATAACCATACTATAATAAGGGCGCCTTTAGGGTTTTTTTAACGTTTAGAAACCCCTACATGGTTTTTTTAACGTAAACCTAACCTTGGTGGCCCTTAAGAACCATATTATATCATAAGGGCACCCCTTTTTTGGGGTTGGCTACTTTGTAAAGGGACCCAGAGCAAAAAGCAAAAAAAAATAGTAGAGGGTACCCAGCAAGTAGCAACGTGAAGGAGGGGCCGAAGTCGAAGACGTCGAGAACTGCGAAGATGCCTTATTATTATTGTTCTATTATTATTATTATTACTATTATTATTCAACTATTATTATTATTATTCAATTATGATTATTATTATATTTGCAGCCCTTAAGAACCATACTTTTTACAAGGCTAGCAGCCTAGTGGCCATATTGTAATAAGGGTAGCAGCCCTTAAGAACATACTTTAATAAGGGTAGCAGCCCAGGAACCATAATTTTAATAAGGGTAGCAGCCCAGTGACCATATTGTAATAAGGGTAATTACCTTTCTTTTGGGCTGGTTCCTTAATTATACAAGAGGACCTTGAACAAACAGAAAGAGCAAAAAAGGGGTACTGCTGTGCTACTAAGATGCAGGCCTCTGTAACAGGGGCCAATGTCTTGCTCAGAAGCCCCTCAAAAGCTTCTGCAGTTAGCTCATCGGATGCTCGCGCGTGAGCGCCTGCTCCTCCACAGGTTGGCACCCACCGTACGCAGCACAAAAACACGAGGCAGTACCCTCTTTGACCCAGAACCCCCAAAACAGCGAAATGGTTCTACCGGTACCCAAGGGTATGCCCTCGAGGCCCGAAGTCAGGATTTATTTACATTAAGTTACTACAAGACCCGTCTGGAAAGTATAATAGATCATCAGCCCACTTCTGCTCACCCTGAACCCTTGTCACCCTAAACCCTATGAACCCCAAACCCTAAACCCTATGAGCCCTTCAGAGTCCGCACCCCCCACCCCCCACCCCCCCCCATCCCCAAGAGAACCCTAAACCCTAAACCCTAAACCCCAAAAAACCTCACGCCCACCTCCGTAGGCCGGTCTCAGGATGTCATCGCAGTCATTGTACCTTGAGGGGGCCCAAATTGAGCCCTCAAAGGGCTTTGGGGCTTAGGTTTGTTCTTGCTAGGGTTTAGGGTTTAGGGTTTCGGGTTTAGGGTTTAGGGTTTGGGGTTTGGGGTTTAGGGTTTGGGGTTTGGGGTTTAGGGTTTGGGGTTCTTTTTGCTAGGGTTTAGGCGGGTCCAGGGCTTAGGGTTCATATACCCCAAAAGGGTTTATTTGGCTCATATACCCTAATAGGGAATTCGCGCAGTATAGGGTTTAGGGTTCCCTAAATCGGAATTAAGCCCTAAACCCGAAATTTACCGGTTTGACTTGGTCCGCGAGGTACTGCCACAGGCCCCAGCATCGCATGCAAACGTTCTGTCGTGATTCCTTGGGCGCGTGCCACGGAGGCGGGGGAGCGGGGGGGTTTAGGGACATGGGTTTAGGGGTTTAGGGTTGGGGGTTTTTGGGGGTTTAGGGTCTGTTTGATTGAGTTGGGCTTCTATTCTATAGGAAGGGAATCCAGCACTCCCTCAGCCCTAAACCGAGAACAATAAATGAACCCGAAACCCTAAACCCCCTAAACCCCCTAAACCCCCTAAACCCCCTAAACCCCCTAAACCCCCTAAACCCCTAAACCCCCTAAACCCCCTAAACCCCCTAAACCCAAAAAACCCTAAACCCCAAAACCCTAAACCCCCGATGCCCTAAACCCCCGATGCCCTAGACCCTAAACTCCCGCAGCCAGCTACTACTCGGCATCCGAAGCTCCCCCTAAACCCTAAACCCCTAAACCCCTAAACCCCTAAACCCCTAAACCCTAAACCCCTAAACCCTAAAACCCCTAAAACCCTAAACCCCCATAAACCCCAAACCCTAAACCCCTAAACCCTAAACCCTAAACCCCAAACCCCTAAACCCCTAAACCCTAAACCCTAAACCCCAAACCCCTAAACCCCTAAACCCTAAACCCTAAACCCTAAACCCTAAACCCTAAACCCTAAACGGCATCCGAAGCTTCTCTGGCCAGCTTTTTGGCGGACAGCCCATCTGAAATAGGAGCCACGAGCCTTCGCGGCGCTTTGAGCCCATTCAATAGAGCATGTTCTCGGTTTCTCTCTCTACCTATTGGTCCCTAAACCCTAAACCCTAAACCCCAAACCCTAAACCCTAAACCCTTTAAACCTACATCCCAAATCTGCATGATTCCAGGTCGAGTCGCTGCGTCATGGCACCTCGGACGACGCCCCGGTCAAAGACCCAGCCTCGTCCGTCGGCCAAGCGGAAATAGGTTCGGGAGTCGGCACTTTGCAAGATCTCTGACACCTTGGGGGGGAGGGGGGGGTTTGGCGTTTAGGGTTTAGGGTTTAGGGTTCAGGGATTTCAGGTTGAGGGTGTGGGGCGGAGCTTGAAGAGTTTAGCCTCTTTGCATTCCCTTTACCTTCCAGGATCCGTACTGTTGACGGGTGCTTCTGGCACTTTTCAAGCTCTGAGCTTCTCTCTGTATTACCAGGGCGCCTTCAGGACTCCCATGATGAACAAAAAAACCTACAAAAGTCTCCAAAATCAAAGCATCCCCCACCTGAAACTGCTCGCCAAAGGCCAGGCTCTCTCCCGTGCGCTCCGCATTCACATCAGGCTCCGTGCGAATGTCCAGAAAGACGTTTGCAATCACTTTAAAGTCCCTTTGGGAGGATGTTGTGGCCAGCTCAAAAGAGTTCCTCTCCACGGCGCCATCTTCCTTCAAGAGCAGCGCCACTTCATCCTCCGCGTTGAGTGGCTTCGTGCTCTCATCCTCCTCCTCCTCCTGAACGATTTTGTCGGGTGGGATGTATCCCAGAGCCATCTTATCCGTGCACTGCAGCTTCACGCCACATCCTGGACAGCAGCCGGCATCCAGCTGGAGCACGAAGCCCTCCTGTCTTTCTTTAAGCCTTTGTGCTCGCAGCTGTCCGAAGGGGCGCAGCCTTCCCTCCTCCATCGGCACGTCCTCGTCGAACATGGAATCGTAGCCCGTGTAGTGAACCTGGGCTGGCCCCTCAAGCCCCCTTATAAAATGTTCTTGAAAATGATCCTCTTAAACCCAATAAGGGAAAACATAAAATGTTCCAGAATATAGTCCGCTTAAACCTTAAACCCAATAAGGGGAAAATATAAAATGGTTCCTGAATATGACCCTCTTAAACCCAATAAGGGAAAATATATAAATAGGTCCCAAAAGGGCCTACCTTAATATAAACAAATATAAAAAATACTTCCCAAGGGAAATATGGTACCTAGGAACTCTTGCGATGCCTCCGCCAACTTTGATAATCTGCCCCTCGCGCCACCGCTTCGAAGGAGCAAGCACTTCCACTCGCTTCCCCTTCTTGCAGAACCTGTGCCCAGTCCACGTAGGGTTTAGGGTTTAGGGTGTAGGGTTTAGGGTTTAGGATTTAGGGTTTAGGGTTAGGGTAGTTATGAAAAAACTCTTAAGCTTGTCATTGTAGATAAGGGAAACCACCTACATGCTTGCATGTGACCAGGCCTAGTAGCCCCTCCGCCCTACACACACGCACACACACCCCTAAACCCTAAACCCTAAGCCCTGAAACCCTGAAACCCTGAAACCCTAAAACCCTAAAACCCTAACACCCTAAAACCCTAAAACCCTAAAACCCTAAAACCCTAAAACCCTAAAACCCTAAAACCCCAACACCCTAAAACCCTATAACCCTAAAACCCTAAAACCCTAAAACCCTAAAACCCCAAAACCCTAAAACCCTAAAACCCAAAAACCCTAGAACTCTAAAGCCCTAAAACCCTAAACCAAGGAACTCTTCCGGCTTGTCCTCAGGCTGGGACTCGTCCCGCCATGCCACGGCCCCTCGGCCTTTGCCAGACCGCCTCTTGGCCACAACACCGGCCAAAGCCGTGGCTGCCACCTGGGGCAAAACATGGAGATGTTTGTCTACATGGAGTTTAGGGTTTAGGGTTAGTTTAGGGTTTAGGGTTTAGGGTTTAGGGTTTTAGGGGTGGGGCATGATCCTCTCAGAATGACTATGATGGCCCTTTCAGGTATATGACCCGAAACCCGTTCAGGACGCGAATTGTCACCAAGGCACTGGGAGTGACGACGATAGTGACGAGGAAGCCACGAGCTCTGGCGCTTCGAGATGCGCTCTACCGCAGGCGGGTGTAGGCCTGGCAACAGGCAGCACCTTAGCGGCTGAATACCTTAGCCCAAAAAAGCTTAACCCTTTAAATTGCGATAGGACTTTATACAACCCAAGAAAGCTAAAAGGTCAACTACCCAGCCCCTAAGGCACTCTTGGCGGCCCGCCAACAGCGAAGGCCTCGGCGAAGAGCGCCATGACAACTACGTGCCCTATGCCGCAGCTCTGAGTGGAAGCTTCTACTGTTGAGATCATCGGTTGCTTTTTTGAATTTTGGTTCCTATGGAGGAAAATGTTATTGTAGCTTTAAAGAGGGCGACTGGATGCGCAAGAGATGTAGGACCGTGTTGTATACTTGCTTGTGCTGGTGCATGAACACTCGCTACTGGCTTCCCTGTGTCCTCGAGCCGAGAGTCCATGGCAGCTTTAATTAGATACTGAACCTGCAAAAGGACATGCCTGGAAGGCACGAAAGCAGTAAGTAAGGGCAAGCAGTAGGCAGCGCAATCGACATGAAGGGAGCTCGGTTCGAACGCTTGTATGTCTGAATCGCCACGGCTCGCAGTGGCGGGAAATGGACGGCGAGATTTCCAAGCTGTAGAAGTTCCGTGCATTTTGCACACTCAGATCCTGTCGGTGGCATGACCGTCGTCAATCGTTGCCGCACCGAACGACTTCTTTGCTCAGGAAAGTGCACCCGCAAGGGGATCATGCAACATGGAATCGCTTGCAGCATTTTTTCGATCGCCTTGCACGGGCGATTGTTTCCCGTGCCCAGCAACTTTTGCAGAAGCCCAAGTGCGCAACCTTGTCACTCACATGTCGAGCAAGCAGTGGAAGCTAGGTTTCGCCATTGTGCTGTCGAAGCCTTCTCCTAGGCCTAAACCTAAACCCTAAACCCTAAACCCTCAAGGAAAGCCCCCAGCTCCCTCCCCCTCCAAGGCGACTGGCCTTGTGGCCATGGCTACCAGGCGCTGCTGGAGAAAGGCCTGACTAAGCGGCAGTTTTTGGAGTGGTTGGGTTTAGGGTTTAGGGTTCAGGGTTCAGGGTTTAGGGTTTATGAGGTTTCTGGGGGTGTCTGGGGTTTGTGGGTGTTTTGGGGTATATGGGGTTTATGGGGTGTAGGGTTTCGTCAAACACGCTCGCACACGGCAGGCAAGGTTCAGGTTCTTCAGGGTTTAGGGTTGACTGTGCGAACTAAGTTTATCATTTCTATTGCGAAGAATCGAAGAAGGGTCGGCTGGACGAGAAAGGGTTTGGCGCTCGTTCGCTTGGGACAGCTCTGCTGTTTCGTGTGAAAAAATGGAAAGAGGCATAAGGAGCCCTAAACCCTAAACCCTAAACCCTACACCCTAAACCCTTGACCCTAAACCCTGAACCCTAAACCCTAAACCCCGGCCATCCTTTAAGTCTAAAGAGCCAAGCAAAGGCCGAGACCCGATCTTCGAGGCTCAAGGCTGTGGCTGGGTTTAGGGTTTAGGCTTTAGGGTTTAGGGTTTAGGGGGGGGGGGGGGGGGTGCGTGGTTCAACCTTATCGGCGCTCTTGACCAGTTGCAACATTCCGCAAGTATCCAATAGCTCACTCGAGGCGCAAGACACGAGCAGCACGTGCGATTCCCAAATTGCACGCCTATGCGCGCCTGATTGGTTGCCCGAAACTCCGGAAAGGTTCCCAGTCGCTTCTCGGATCCATTTTTCAGGGTTTAGGGTTTAGGGTTTACAGACGGAAAAGTGCTTCCTGATCTTCCCCTCCCCACTCTACTCCTGAGATGTCGACCCAGTTTCGTGGCAGCCGCAGACACCAGTGATGCCACAACAAAACCTGGGCGCTGGATTTCTACTATTTGCTTAAGAACCCCAAAAAAGGAACAAACAAATCATTCCCTTAGTACCCTTATAGGGAAGAATATCTTTTGTCATTCTATTTTTTTTTGGGGGGGGGTTCTTAAGCAACCAGTAGATTTGGCATGTCTGTGGCGCAGCCAAAAGAGCGCGTCCTGGAATGTGGACGAAAGCAACAAACTAGATGATGCGGCATTCTACAAGGCATTCTTGTGCATACATTGCAGCAAACAACAGCAGCTACTGAAAAGTAAAGGCCTTACATGGCGCTATGTTCTAACCCTAAACCCGAAACCCTAAACCCTTTTTTCTTGAACCCAGGCTCTGCACTATCAGATGGGCAACAGGCATGACAATAGCACAACTGTCTGGAAACCCTAAATCCCTAAACCCTAAACCTTTTTTGCAGCGTTTAGGATTCCGGGTTTAGGGCTTTTCAGGCCCCCAGCCGCCCTTATCAGGGCCACGGCCGATGTCATCACTGCAAAGGCAACCACCTCCACCCACATAGGGTTTAGGTTTGGGGTTTAGGGTTTAGGGTTTAGGGTTTGGGGAACTATATTATGGAAACAACTTTGGGACCAAGTAATCGCCGATCCAAACGCAGGGAAGGGGAGGACGTCACAAGAACTTGGAAACAGCTTCGGCCCCTAAACCCTAAACCCTAAACCCTAAACCCTAACCCCTAACCCCTAACCCCTAACCCCTAAACCCTAAACCCTAAACCCTAAACCCTAAACCCTAAACCCTAAACCCTAAACCGTAAACCGTAAACCCTAAACCCTAAACCCTAAACCCTAAACCCTAAACCCTAACCTAGCCGGGATGGATGGTGTAAAAGGGAAAACCGGCTCTGCTGAGACCTCCTTGGGCCAACCTCTCCGGGAACTAAGCGGACGTATGGTTCGAATACCTGATACAGTTTAGGGTTTAGGGTTTCGGGTTTAGGGTTTAGGATGGGTGGCTGTCTAAATTCTGATCCCTCTTGGGGTATCCTAAATATTCGGTGCCGTACTATCAGAGGGATCCAAAATTGTTGACAACCACCCATATATCTTACGAGGAAGAAGTAGTACATATGGGGGACATTTCCCAAATGGGTTTAGGGTTTAGGGTTTAGGGTTTAGGGTTCCCAAATGTCCATCAAGCCATAGCCGCACAGAGGCGAATAGCCGCACAGAGGCCGGGGCACTATCCAAGCTCCACTCTTTGCCTCCCGCATGTCACTTCTCAGTACGTGTATTTTGACTTTGGCTTGCTTGGTAGCCCAGTAACCATACTAAAATCAGTGCACCCTTTTTTGGGTTGGTTATTTTATAAGGGAACCCGTAACCCAAAAAAAAGGGCAAAGGCTACCACTGGGCTACCGAGCTTGCGCAGAAAAACAGAATTCCAAGAAGGTCATGTACTTGGCCTCATTGGCTCGTCCAAGCTAAGCATGGCTGCCTCACAATGGGTGTTGACCCACTGCGGCAGATGAAAACTCCACTTCTGGTAAGAATCCCACTAGGGAACGGGCTTAGGGTTTCTAAGCCATAAAACGTATTGCGGGTCCAGGTAGCTTTTGGTGAGTTGGGGTCGGAGTGGGCTACAGGCTTGGTGCGGCAATTGCCAGCGTCTGCCATACAAGGGCCTTGTTGATCGGAGCCCGGTAACCACATTTGCAGTGAGGGTACTCTTCCTTAAGAGCCCCAAACCTACTTGTTTGTAGGTTACCTAAGAATCCCATATGGGGCTTTAGATTCAGAACCCACAAAAAAAACGCAGGTTTTTGGTTCTTCGGGTTTGGTTAAAGAAGGGGGCAAAATCCTAGGAGGGCCCTCAAAACCCTCTGAAATTTAGGGTTTAGGGTTTAGGGTTTAGGGCCTCTTAAACCCAATAAGGGAAAACATAAAATGTCCCCAAGGCCAACCTAGAATCAAAAATAGGACAAGCAAGGTACCACCGGGCTTCCGATGTTTCTACTGCTGCTTCTGGGGTTCGGCGCTAGGCCTTTGCCAGAATTTCTGGACAGCTGGGACGTTGGCCTGACCTGAAGATGCCACATGCAACCCTAAACCCTAAACCCTAAACCCCGTGACACCTAACAAGCCTTTAATAAGCCAACGCCTCGTCTAGGATGCATGCGCAGTGGCAGACATCGGGCCAGGCAGAAACGTCAGAGATATATTATGAGATATATTTGGGGATTTCCGACATGGTGGTCTTCTCAGGGATCAGGGTGTAGGGTTAAGGTTTCAGGGTTTAGGAGTTTAGGGTTTGGGGTTGCCGACATTAGGGGTACCTTCTTGGGGTCCTTACTATAAGGGGATCCTACAATTTTGGAGATCCACATTGGGGGTCCCCTATTGCCGTAAACCCCCCATACTCTGCGATATATTTGGGGTGACACTCCACGTTCGTCAGCTATGAACACCTGCACGTCTCTCATCGTTGACGCAGTGGTTCGGGTGCAGTCGAGTCATCAGGGGTTGCCCCCTGCTGCAAGGGTAGCTTCATGGTCCCCGACTATGGGCCCTTAAAAAGGGGGTCCCTTGTATGCTTCTTATGTGCCCTGTAAACCCAAGGGGCCCATACTTCCAAATCCTTTAAAGAACGTAAGGGACCACACTAAGGGACCATGTACCTTAACCCTAAACTTTACGCCCTAAACCCTAAACCCTAAACCCGACCTTCTCCTAAGGATCCCTCAACGTCACCCCGCCCCCCTCCCCCGAGTGTGCGAGCCATGACATCGGCCAAGAGGCGAAACCAAAGAACGTCTACACAAGTCCGAGGTGACGACATGGATCTAGGGTTTAGGGTTTGGGGTTTAGGGTCCCATAAAGGGCCTTCTTGGCCCATTGTTGTTTGTGTGGGGTCACAACTAAGGGTATATGATCCGAGTTGTCGGGCTCATTTGGTTCCCGAGGAATGCGATGAGGTCCGTGACAAGACATCTTCGAAGCATTGGCTGCGCGCCCAAGTCGTTACATGTACGCACAAACAGACATACATGCATAGGCACACGTCCGTCTGCGGAAATGCTCTGATACATGCAAAAGCTGTGTAGACACAAAAGTGTCGATTTCAAAACCCAAGGCAGATGTAATACTATATGCACATGATGTTCTATCTCAACCCTAACCCCTAAACCCATCTTAGTGTATACACTCGGAGAGACAGATCCACAGCAGCGCCACAAGTTTCAGTGGGAAACCACGTGAAACAGTAGGGAATCCTCCTGGAGGAGCAGCTCCATTGGTCCAAGGCTTAGGGTTTAAGGTTTAGGGTTTAGGGTTTAGGGTTTAAGGGTTTAGGGTTCGGGCCAAGAATCCTCAGGGTGCTTTGCTGTCGCCATGATGACTTTGCGTGGCTGCGTGCACTACCATTCCCCCGCGCAGGCGAGGAAGCGCCATGCAGATTCCAGCCGTGCCAGCCTCCCCTGAGGAGTACTTGGAGGTTCATGGTACTTATTAACCAATTAATTATAGCTGTACGTATAGCCCACTTATAAGCCCACTCAATGCCGTAATGTGGTTATAAGTACAGTGACAAGTGGCTAATATGAGGTTTTTTAAGTACCATGAACCTCCAAGTACGTGAACTCCTCAGCATGGTGCGAAAAAGCATGCCACCCTAACGCTAGAAACTCTTAAGTGCGTAACCCGTCTAGGAATGCGACTGCAGGGGGTCCAAGGGCCCGAAAACCGGAAAACTGCAAGGACTCAGAAAAATCTGAAGTTGTCCAAAAGCTTGTGCTATACTAATTTAAATGAATTGTCTGGCAGCTTTTAGCCGCCCGAACGGCCAAAAGAAACACAAGAATCTCATGATGAATAGCTACAGCCCCACTGGAGAGGTGTGGTCGAGGAGGCGCAGGCTAAGCAGTAACGGCTTCTGCACACAGGGCTGCCGCCCTCCCCGATGAGGGCATGGAGTATGCCAACCCTGTCAGCTATCTGGAACATAAGGGACCCCGAATACACTCCCCCAGATGGTAGGATTCCCTGATAAAGAAGGTACCCCTAATTTCGGAAACCCTAAACCCTAAACCCCCAACCTTATGTAGAAGATGAGCAAGGGCGCCCTTCTTGGTTTCTGGCATGAATAAGAAGGGAGAAAAGGGCACTCGTGTGGGCATCCATCAGTCTAGGTTTAGGGTTTCTGGTTTAGGGTTTAGGGTTTAGGGTTTAGGGTTTAGGGCTTAGGGTAGTCCAGGGGAGATAGCCGCTTCAAGCAGCCACCCGGGATGCTCCACGTCCACACTCATGACCACTCTGGGGGTTCTTGTCAGCTAGACTGACGAAACTCTGTGCTTCTTCAACCTTCTTGTTGTGGCTCCTCTCTTGACCCAAATTGGGTACCCACCAAAACAGGGGTACCCCGTTTATACTTTATACCCCAAATAGAAATAAAAATCCCCTTAAAGGGACCTCCAAAAAGGGTACCCCCCCCCCCCCCCCTGACATTTTCGGAAACCCCCAACTAGTGTTAAAGTTGTTCTTGGGGCCACTTGCCTCATGTACAATCGATGTACAAGATGGAGCATGATTTGGGGGAAAGGAACCACACCAAGCTGGTTCTGGATCTCTGGTAGCATCTGCGCTGCAGCCACCGTGCAGGCTCTCTACCCAGATATTGGCTCTGAGTTTGCTTTTCCCCCCCCTCCCTCTGCACGGGGGGGCTGCTGCTTACACATGCTTCCTCAACCTTGGGCTCTAGACGAAGGTTGATCG